GAGAAGTGGCAAGAATGGTTCCAATATTGTGTGTGTGTGTGTGTGTGTGTGTGTGTGTGTGTGTGTGTGTGTACCTAGAAGGATAGAATTACAGCTTACTGAGATGGGAAGCATTATAGGAGGAAAAGTTTGGGAAGGGAAGATGAGAATAGTTTGGAAAATGTTAAGTATGAGATGCCTACTACCTATCTAAAGGGAGATGGTAAGCAGGCAATGGAAAAATCTAGAGCTCACAAGTAAAGTCCTGGCTAGAGATAAAAATTTGGGGATTATCAATATATAGATGATATTAGAAATATGAGAATAGATAAGACCCAAAACAATGATTGGATCCTGCGATTGTCATGGAATAAGTGGGAGTGATGCCTAAAATTTTCATGAAGTAAGTGCCATTCAATAAGTTGAATTCTGAGACACTCCCATCAGGAGGCCAAAGATATATAAAGGATTTAGCAAATGCGGGGGAAATGCAATAGTCAGTGAGTTAAGAGGAAAACCACAGAGATAGTGTTTTAGAAAGTATTTCCAGGAGGAGAGAATAGTCACCTCTGAAAAATGCTAGTAGTTCAAATCAGATGAAGACCCTTACATGTAGCATTTAGGTAATTTATGACTCAGGCAAGAGTAGTGTGAATGGAGAGTTTGGGGCAAAAACTTGATTGAAGTGTAACTCAAGGGAGAATGTGAGGAGAGGAATGGGAAACAATAATTATAGATAAGCCTGATGAGATTATTTTTCTGTAAAAATAGCACAGAAATAGGGACATCCCTGGAAAAAGAATGGAACCAAAAGAGGGATTTTTGAGATGGGAAAGTGACCACACGTTTATACACTGATGGGAACATTTCTTTAGATAGGGAAAATTGATATCCTTGGGAACAGAAGGAGAGGAGAATCTGGTACACAAGTGAAGGTTGACCTTAGCTAGAACAAAAATAGTTTATAAAGGCAGAATATATGGTACTAATGCTATAGGTAGCTAGATTTGGTAGAAGGAGCTTTTGAAAGTTTTAATCTTCATTTTTGTTAGTAAAATAGTCAGCAGCTGAAGGTGGGGACAGGTTAGCATTTTGAGGGAAAAGATAAAGGTAAAAATAATTACTCAGACAAGAAAACGTGTATTAGGAAAACGCAGAATGATACCTAAGGCAAAATGAAAGGCTCATTGAACTTCATGATCATAAATTTAAAGTCGAACACATTCAGCAGCATGGATTAATGGACAGAGTGGTCTGAGACTTCAAGCAAGGTTAATTTTAGTGTCATTTAATACAAGCCTGCAGTTTTGTCCAGCAATTAAAATGATGCAAAGATCACAGATGACTTGAAGATATATGGAAGAAAGTGATTAACATGACCATTCAATTCAACATGGATATGCAGGGAAATGAGGACATCCATGAAATCTCTAGTAGAATCGATCAATGGGTTATAGATCTGGGCCAGGGGAAGCATCTGGGGCACTTCAGAGTGTGCGCTGCAGAGATAGACAGTAGTGACTCAGTCCTTGAAACTGATATTATGAAGAGGTTATAGTCTTTGGTGTGATGAGGTCTAGGGTATATCCCTTGGAGTGGGGAGAAACAAGATCGTTGGAGGAAAGAAGGCTAAAAAACCAAAAAGCCAGAGAATTAGAAGGAGTCTCTTCGTGGTCATTGAAACCACCAATGATTAGGACAGTGGTAATATTTTAAGAGACTGACTTTGAACCAAGAGCTAAAACTGTCATGGAATAAGGCCGAGTGACTCAAGGATGGGAGATGATTCCAGCAAGAAGGGTAAGTGACGGAGTCTTTGGAGATGAGATTCAAAACTATGCATTCTGAGGGAAGAGGGAGTAGAAATGGAAAAGAAGTACCAAAGTAAGGCAAACTGACACACCAGTCCATCTGGTGTGGAGCAATATGGAACATATATTATGGTGCAGCTCCATGGGTCACAGAATGGTAGTGTCTTCAGGGAAGGGCCAGATTCAGGTTAGAGCAAGAAGGTGAAGGAAAAAAGAAATCAGGGCAATTTCAGGTTATAGGGAATTCTTCTTGGGGTTACCATGAGGACCAAAGAGCTCAGGAGAAGAATCTCAATTCAGGTCTGGGAGAAGGATAAGAGATGAGAGGCACAAACAGGGATGCGCAGAGCCATATGGGGATCAGACAGGAGGCGATGAAAGAAATCCCTACCTTCTTGTGGTGCTGACAAATATGAGAGCTGATGGCCATAGGAGATTGATTATGGTGATGCCAGGGCTCTCATGTTGGTGGTAAAGAGATGTGGGGTTCTCTCCTGAGCACATGGCCTGCTGGAGCCGCCTCTTGCCCCCTGCCAAGGAAGGAGTGGCAGGCAGGCAGCAGCAGGTTTGCTTTGAGACAGAAGGCTCCCTCTTATAATATGCCTGTGGCTCCCACCTGAGAACTCTGAGAATAAAGGCTGTTGGAAAAGATTTCTGGACACATGTCTTAAGAGATTTTCCTTTTACTCATTTGATATGAATTAATTGCTTCAAATGTCTATAATACCCAAATGTCATACAATGAATGTATCTTATTCAGTATTAGGTATTAATCTATAATGTTAGGTACTATATAATATATAGCACTTTACATACATGATTTAATCCTTACCCCAAGTATTGTCTTTGTACTTTACAAATGAGGATATTGTTGCTCAGGAAGTTTAAATAACCTGCTTAATCTCGTGCTAGTAAATAGCAGAGACAAATTGGCATCAAAGGTTATCAGATTTCAAGGACTATGATATGTTATATGAACTTTGATGATTATCTCTGAAATAAGTATCAAGATTATTTTTGGCAAATTTTGCAATTCTATGGACCCATTAATGTTAGCATAATATTGATCTGAAAAGAACTGTTCTTGCTTCTGACCACTTTCATTTTTCAACAAACTACACAAGAAGAATGATCTGATTAGTACTTACCAGTCTTTTGGAAAGAAGGGAATGGAAAATAGTCTTTGATCTCTGGAAAGACACCAGAATTTCACCAGTTTCAGTGATTACAAAAATTTAGTCAATTTTTACTGTTTCACCTTCATTCCTTCTACATAGTTGTCTCAAAATAAGGTGATGTGCCTTGGATAGAATATAAACTTGAAGAGAAAATCATTGCCTTGGGAATATCCGAATTGTATTCCCACTCTGAATGATAGAGAAGTTCACAAAAAACAATTGAAAGTGTCCTCTAGGTCTGCCACAGTGGTTTCAAAATCTAGAGTTACACAGTAATTAACTAAAGTGCTTATTTTTTAATATAAAAAGACATAATCTTGGTCAACTCAACCAGAATCTTTTGGCTGTAGGAGATGGCCTGGACTGCTATATTCTGACTCAGCCGATGACTACTTGGGATCCCAGTCCCTAATCTTCCTGGCTCTGGGTCTACATTTCTCAGTTTCCCCTAATTGGGAAATAAGGGTTTCCCAGCCCTTCTCCATCTCCACACCCTCTGGTTCTTCCCATGATTTCAATACTTCCAAGAATAATCAGGATAAAACTAATCTATCAACTGGCATATAGACCTGAGTATATTGTTGCAGCTGAATCAGCAACTGTCCTTGCAGAAATACTAAGGAGTAATAATGTTTTCATATATGCATCCTTACATTGATATATGTATATATACAAACACATATTTTTGCATTGTATGATAGCTGAGTTCTCTATACAATATGCAGCATATGTAATATTTAATGTATAATTCATACTATTACATATGAGTTCTCTATATAATAGCTACATATATATGTATTTATATTTATATTTGTTCATGTGAAAGGAGATGGATTTGAATCTTATTTACATTAGTATACCTCCAGAACAGAGCCCAGAGGTTGAGGTATAGAGGTATAGTAGGAAGTCAAAAATGTTTGAATGAATAAATGAATGAATGAAATGTCATCCCTCTTCAAGAAAACTTTCATTTGGTTCAAGCTCTCCCCTTCTCTAAAAACCAAATCAACAAAAGGAAACTATGTAACTTTTCTTTCTTCAAACTTTGAGTAAGGAATCTATCATACAGAATAGTCTTTTTGTCAGATTTTAAAATTGTCAGGTAAAATTCATTCATTATCTTGTAATGAATTGGACTCTTCTATATGGAACATCTAGAGCTCATTCACATCATATTAGAACTGCACCCAAGGATCCAGCAAAAATAATGTATTTTATCTTTTGAATGCAAAAGTAACCTGTAAACACATATAAAAAATTGCCTTGAATTCTTTTCTATTCCGAAAAGTTTTAGGTACCTTGGATAATCTGTTGTATTTGTACTTTTAAAGAAAAAAAATCTTACACAACTTAATTAAGCAAACAAATGTAAGGTATTCTCAGAAATAAAGTAGTTGAGCTTTCACATAAAAATAATGTATAACTGAGATCTTATTAATATAATGTAGCGTAGCTCATGACAGTTTTTTCTTTTTTTGTAACGCACGTGATTTGAGCTTTGGTTTCAAAGAGGCATCCACTTCAAAGAGGGCTGTCTAGAATCAGCCTTGTGACTAGGTAAAGAGCCAGGCCACCTCTGCCCTACTGAGACTACTAAGTTTGAGCAATTTTGGTTGATTTCAATAACTGTTTGGGCCACTTTTTTTTTTAACTCTTCCAGAGCTTTAAATACCGAATTTTATGCATCCTTGTAAATTTGGTTGTAAATCTGCCAATAAAGAGAGAGCCAGTGACATCCTAGACTCGACCCTTGACCCCAGTAAAAGCAAAACCTCAGACCCCTGCCCTCTTTCTCACTCTCTACCTGTGACCTCACTGTGTGGCCCCAAGATTGCTGTGTAATTTCCAGGTCCTGTAAGAATGAAACCTTTATTTTTTCAAAGTTCTCTGATGGTTATTGCTGAAGGGTTACTTGCGATCATTATAACTACAGGGGCCAACCATGACATTGGCCATTGATAGATTAAGACCGGCACAAAATGTAGAACCTTTAATATACTAGAGTGTGGTACAGGCTGTTGGACTAGCTAGTTAATTTTCTCCCATTACCTAGGACAATGACCTAATAAGATGGTTAATCATCATTGGACTGATAAGAGAAAGCTAACTTAAAGAGAGACTTGAACAACAAATGAAGGGATGGCCTTGTTGCTGTTACCATAGGATTCTAAGTCCAGGTAAGAACCTTTGAGATTCTCTAACTTCAATGTTTCTTCTATGTGAGATACTTCCACAAATTTCAAGAAAAAAAATACATTGATGGACATGATCTGTATTACACATTTTATGCTTTTTGTTTTCTACACACTTAGGTTCTAAGCCCTTAGAAGGTATCAAGTATCCCTTCTGGAACTAGATGAGTCTCAGATTTGTATACTCTGAAAAATCAGACCTTTCTAACTTAGTAGTAAAGTTTAAAATCCTGTTCTTAAATCCTGTTACTTTCTAGACAAGTGAAACTTCAAGTCTGAAAAAAATGAACTTCTGGTTATCTTCTCAAACTTTGCTACAAAGCAATTATTTCACTAACTACATAGAATTATTAGACTTACTTCCTTTGATTCCATCTTAACTGAATAATGTGAGGTTGTTATGGAAAGTACTAGAAAGCCTGGACTGGATCGCTGATGGAAGAACCAAGCGGCACTCGGAGTCTTGGAGTGTTGAGGTTCATTTTACACCAGCGGGCCCAGAGGGGAGTGATCTCCCAAGGTCTGAGTCCTGAGCACAAGCAAGGGGGACAATTTATATTATTTTGATATGTGGCATTTCGGCATGTGCAGGGCAAAAGAGAAGCCCAGAGGAGCGGGGGTGGGTAGCTGGGAGGGCTTTGCCAACCAGAGGGAAAAAGCAGTTTGCCGACCTTGACGGCTGTGTTGAATATTTTCCTCATCAAGGTTAAGAGTTAGTTGGCAGACATCAAGAAATGGAACGTGACTGAAAGTCACTTACTGAACTCTACTTTCCTTGTTTCAATTCAACTTTGACTCAGGTAAAAGAATGAGGTTTTCTAGATAATTTTAGATGTGATCGAATAAGAGGAGAAAAAAATCTGCTCAGCACAGTTCCTGGCACAAACTAAAGACTCAGAGGCCATGAATGGATATCAATCAGTGGATTGGCTGGTTGATTGCTGTTAACTTTGCAGCTTTCTTATTTATGAATTGTATTCTGTTAATGTGAAACAAATTACTCTTTTTCTCCCTGAATAGGTGATCATTTCAAACCAACCAAACATCAACAGTTGAAAACATCCACATATCTGTAGTTCAGTGATGGACCCAAATCAACATTTCAATAAGTCAGAAGAGGAACAACCTTCAAGGAAAAGGAGAAAAAGATGCTGTGATGGATTCAAGGTAGAATGAGTTTCCTATTTCCAAACTAAAATAAACAAAGAAGGACTTTTTTCTTTAAAGAAAAGGCAACCAGTTTTTAAAAAGAACATTATACTTCAAATTAGCACACATTAAAATATTATTATTATGATCCATATCTTGTTGTAAGTCTTTGTACCTAAAAAAGGTATTTCTTTGGTGACATTTCTGATGGATAACAGTTTATTCATGTTGAAAATTTAGAAAACCTTCACTATATTCTCTTTGGTCCTTGATGGACCAAAAAATATTCATAAATGTGATTAAAATAAAAGAGGTCTTTTGTATAATTCATATAATTCATAATAGGTAAAAAGATATTTTGGAAATGACCTATAAAAAATATGAATCAGTCTTATGAATTATTTGACCTATTTAATTTTTTTATTAGAACAGAATTTTTAATTCTAATAACATAAATAATACAGTCTGATGGAGAAGAGATCTAAAACAACCATCAATACACTTGGACAAAAGACCTAGTTGCAGACTTAGGAAAGCCATTTAATTTTTCTGTATGCAGGTAAAATTTTGTCTCTTCTTTTATTGCAAAACTGTGAGACACTAAATGATGTAGACTTTATGAGGATTTTCACAGACAGGTGTTGGATTCCCCTGAGGAAGGCGCCGCCCCAAATCACTCACCAAAGACGTTTCTTGATGCAACAAGCAAGAGGAATTTATTCGGAAGCCAACTAGTTGGGGTCCAAGTCAGCCCGTCGCAGCGGGTCTCAACGAGGACCCAGAGCACACAAATCCAGAAGGTTTTATAGCATTTTCAAAAGGGGTAAAATTTTCCATAATTACAATACAGGGTTTTTTCTATAGGCTCATAAATCTTTTGCTGGCGCCACATCCTGGGGTCTGGTTAGATGAGATCACCTTCGGAATGTCTAGGGTGGTTCTAGCAAGATAAGCTAGGCATGTATGATTAACTGATTTACGGTTGGCTAACTAAAGGTCACTACAATTGACACAGGCTAACTAACTTGTTTTTCAAGATTCTAATGATTTTCCTTCTTCTGGGTTAGGGGGTGGTATTTAGGCCTTAAGATGGCTGTACTTATGCTAACTTTTGATTCTTCAGATCCTACATTTCCCCACTTCTCTTTTTGGGGCATTCCAATCATGGAATGTTTGTATCTTCTTGTGAGGTGAGTGAGTGGTATTGTTGCTTCAACATTAGTACATGAACGGCACTCACTCTTTCTCTAACAAAAGTTATTAACCGGTTTAACATGCAGGGTCTTAAAGTTAGAAGCAACACAAGGATGAGTAGGGGCCCAGCCAGAGTGGATATCAGGGTTGTAAACCACGGGGACCTAGTGAACTAAGATTCAAACAGTCCTTGGCCTGCTTCTCGCTCTCTCTTCCTCTGATCTAGCCTTTCTCTAAGTTTTGACATTGAATCTCTTACTATCCCGGAATGATCTGCATAAAAGCAGCATTCTTCTCTTAAAGCTGCACACAGTCCTCCTCCTTTTAGGAACAGCAGATCTAGCCCTCGTCTATTCTGTAAGACTACCTCAGAGAGGGAAGTCAGAGATTCTTCAAGTTTTGTAATGGATTGCTCTATGGTTTTTAGGTCTTCATCAATAGCAGTCCTTAGTCTTTCATAATGCTGGTTCCCTTGAACAATAGCGGCTGCCTCCGTTCCCACTCCAGCTGCGACTCTTATCTCTAACAACACGGCTAAGGTCAGCGAGACCGGCTCTCTCTTATATCTATGCTTAGGTTCAAATTCAGCTACGAATGAGAGATCATCATGATACATCAACCTGGGCACCAGCTGGACCATGATACAGAAATCACGGGAGGAGTTGAAGGCAGAAGTAGAGACACATGGGGTCACTCCAGTGTTACAAGCCCACTATCCCTCGGGAGGAGGGATTAAATACCTGTTTTTACCAGGGAAGGCTATGGGTATGGTCTCATTCTTTCTTCTACAGATAGAGACTCTAGCTGCTGCTAGGGAAAAGGGGCGATGACCGCTCTGGCTGCTTCGTGCTGAGAAGGGGGCGCAGTAAAGGGTGCAGCTAGGTCTCCATCACTGGTCAGTTGAGAGGGCTTCAGAAGGCTGGCGCTTCTATTCTGGGTTTCATTTTTATTACTATTTGCAGTTTTGTGGCTTCTAGGCAAGATAAAACAAATTGTGTTATTAGGTTATGTAGCAACATCTGGAGTTGGATTTTTTATTCTGGAAGGAGGCTACATTATTGAAACGATACTTCTCTCTAAAATCACTCTCATTTTTACTAGAAGTAACTAGGTTAAGAAAATAATTAACAGCTGGCTTGATTATTTGCACAGGTGCAGCAAGAAGAGCAATTGATTACACAGGCTCTTTTAAATATGCTTTGCTGGAACTTTTTGTAAGGAATTTCAGATTGAACTTTTAAAGGCCTCTTGAGGCCAGACAGCCAAGCCAGACTTGCCATCAGGCTTTGCCTGCAGTACCTGTAGATTTGGATGAATTCTTCTCTTCTCGAGGTCTCTGCACCTGCCAGGAAGTGACCTTCTTTACTCACCTGGTAAGGCTGCTGGGAACTCTGTAAGCAAGGTACCAGGCCAGTTCTTCCAAGGGGCTTTGTTGGCTTTATAAAGTCAATCTTAGTTCTTTAAAGTTGTTCACATCTGAGTCTATGCACATGTCTCTCAGGTACGACATTCCAGTCAAAGCCCTGGTAGTATAACCAGTGTTCTTAAGTAGTCTTCTCACAAGGAAAGCAGATTCTTATTGAACTCGTGCAAATAAACATACTGCCATGGAATACAAAAACAGTCACTGAAAGTTTTTAAACTCTGGAGGGATCAAGTAGAGAGAAGGATGTTTCAATTCTGCTCATAAAGATAGTCATTTACTAAACTGTTGTCAGTTTAAGAGAACAAGGTTAAAACACTTTACCAGCAACATTTGAAACAAAAAGACACAAAATCATTTTCTTTAGTTTATGTAATCTTATGTAACTAATACCTGTTCTGCTGAAATCTAGTTCTTTACCAGTTTAGGGATAATACTATAAATGACAAAAGACTTACAAATGACAATGGTTAAAGATCTGATGAGAGCTTACTGTAAAACAGTTGACATAAGGAAATTCTGATATTTCTGTAATACAAAACATTCAGTAACAAAGTTTAGCATCATTCTCTTTGACAGTGCTTTCCTGGTAAATAAATATATATATATCAGATAAATAAGCCAAATTAGTCAAATACTTTCTCTAGTGAGAAAAAATTCTTCTGACATGTTCCAGGGGCCCTCTGGAAAATATCAGAGTTAACTAGAGGTAAAAGCACCTTTTTGCATTTAATTTTTTTAGAACTATCATTACACATTTATTGTCTATATACTCAGCACAGTAAACGAGATATCTTAAAAAGTGGGGCAGCAGGGGAGACTGCTGCTGTCAATTTTTAAAGACAACATACAGAAAGTCAAACTAATTCTAGGTTACTAAGCATTCTTGAGAGAATGGTAGCAGATGGTAGATTCTTCTGCTTTCATCTTCAGGAGGGGAAAAAAGCTACAATAAGAATTCATATTTAGCTGAAAGAACTGTCTAAACTCAAGGCAGAGTATAATATCACCAGGCATACAAAAGACCTGTTAGAGATACATACAAAGAATGAATATGGCTATAGTCAAATTCAACTTAAAAGTTTAAGCAGAATCTCAAATTTAAATGTCTCTTTCTTTCACACAGATATTCAGATATGACCAGAAATATGATTTGAGATGAAAGAGATCAGGCATTTTACTTCTTCATTTAGGGACTGAGAAATGATGACCTTTGGCTTACAATCAATAGCTTACAAACAGTGAAAATAATAAGAACATAACTCAGCATAAGTGTCTAAGACCAGATACAAAAAAGCAGAGAAAGTGCTTAAGTTTACAGGTCTTCCCTGAAAGCTTCAAGAATGTTTTACTCTTTAATAGTAGATATAAGCTGCTATGCAAATTCTATTAAAAGCTCTAAGATTATTTGCATTAAAAAATATGGAGAGTCCCCCATTTTTTTTTTTTTAAACATACAGCATATAAATTAAACAAGAAGACCTGGTGGTTCTCAAAAAATCTATTACAACTTTTCTCAAAAGTGGTCACACGTTCGTCTATCTAAACCTTTACAGTGAAACCTGTTTTTCTGGGAGAAACATAATCTTGTCCAGATTCTACAGTTTAATAAATTTTGGTTTGTTAACTAAGTGCATTTAATCAGCTGAAAAAAGCTTTGTTACTATTCTGCTTAGGAATTCAATTTTTCAGGCCATGCAATCATTTTTAATAACAAAATATTTCAAAGGCAAATAAAGGTTATACAGTTGTTAACAAACTTTAGCTTTTAGTCCCTTTAACATTACGATTTCATGGCAACTCACTGAGACTTTAAGCATGAGAAACTGCTGTGATCTTTCAACATTAAGAGCAGACTAACAGTTAAAGAAAACTGTTTAACTGGAAACGAGATTTTAATTTTGCTGTGCACTTGATATCAAGACTCACTTGCTTTAATTTCACTAGGCATGACTATATCTGTAAGAATATAGTAATTTATTCTTCATTTGCCCCATGGTCCCAAGCACATAAGCCGGTGAGAATTATGCCTGGGCTTGCCTGCGGCTTGACTGGGTTTATCTCACTTTATCTCTAAACATCCTAACCCTCCCCCCAAAGCAACAGGCTGAGCGGATCTTCTACAACAAAAGGCACCACGCTGTTTTCTCTCTTTGTCTCTCTTTAAATAAATAGCTGTACTTTAGAACAAAGTTACTTTCTTTTATCACAAAACACATTCTTTAGCATGCAGAAGAGTTTTCATTTTTTATACTTTTTCTTATTAAAACATACATCTTTTAGCATAGAGAAATGTTTTTCTTTATTACTTTAAGTGGTTTTAATTAGAACTTAAAACCATTAGAAACTTTAACTTCTAGTGAACACTGAGAAGCAGGACACTGCAAACTGTCAAACTAAC